TTGCACATTAAGCAGCTTGAATACACACACATGCATGTACACACAAGTACAATCTTATCAAAGTGGACAAAAGATGTTTCTGATCGACTTTGTAGTGAACTTAAGGAAAGGCATCCTACCACAGTAAAAACTCCAATCCTCTGTCAAATATTCACATGTAGCGTGCATTATTCAATAGAATACAACATTTTGTTTTCATTGCTCAAAGACCATACCCAGTAACTGATCTATTCCCTCCCGGATTTCTGTTCCCCTTAAGCATTATCTCAGTTGCTCAGTGACAACCAGGAGACCAGGACAGGACCACAGCAGCCTGGCAGAGAGCAGCTAATGCCCTCTAAGGACAAGTGTGCAGTGTGCCCTGCAAGGGCAGGAGAGGAAGACCTCTTGCTTTTGGTGGTCTCTCCCTCATCAACAGTTTTCCTCCATTTTCTTACATGTCAGTACTTTCCTTCAAAGCTAGCAAGCACAGCTACTTGTTGCAGCTTTTCAGGAAAGCAACCAAGATACTACTGATCAGCTGCTACATCCACCCGTGTAAGAGCGGCAGAAACACCAGAAATATTTGAAGTGATCAATCCATCTACAACAAAATATAAAATGTTATCAAAATGATGCTCCTTGCAGCAAAGGATTTAACTCTAAATGTTTTACTTTGGTGAAGAATAGGCACACGAATGAGTGCTTTGCTGAATCCTCTAGGGATTTTGAAGTCCTGGGGATATTGAACAGTGTTACCAATACACAGTGAAGAGTGAGACATGAATTTTCACTGCAAGTCACTGCTCACTATGTCAAAAACTTCTCTTAAGGCATAACAAGCCACAGTGAGCAGTGCTATCCTCTACCAGGCAAGGTAATTACCCAGGGAACATCCCTGTCTGCATTATGCTAAATCACAACTTTATGTCTTTTGGAAATATTTTACCAATATTTCTAAGTCAGCCTGAAATACAACCTGTCTGCCAGATGCTGCAATTTGTGAACAGCACATACACATTCTGAGCGCCGACCTTTAGCAAAGAGCACTTTTATGAGATTTAAATAAAAATCACTAAATGTTAAGATTCAGTCATATGAAACCAACTGCACCCAACAGACTGATACAACAAAGAAAAAACATTGCGTTTTCTTTCCAGCATTTTGGTTTATAAGCATAACCTGGCTGTAACTTCTTGGGACTTCCTAGACGTTTCCTTGGTTTTCCTGGCAGTTCTTTTACAATATGTACCAAGAAATTGGATATGCTCTACATGTTGTATTAATTGTATGTAGAAGATTCTGCCACTATAAACTGGTTTTCACATACAGACTTTTAAGAAACTTAAAACATAGCTCTACTTTGCAGGAAAATACGCTGCCTACAAAGGTTTCTGGGTTTTGGTGGGGTTTTTTTATTTAAATTTAGGAAATTGTGATTAATGATATTTAGAGGTGTTCATAAGTTTGATCGCTGCACATGACAAAGCCAAGCTTTGACAGTGTGGAAACCATGAACAAAAATGTTTTGGTTATCTGCAGAGCATGTTAAATCACCAGTAGGATGTTTTCCAATTATTTTACAGAAATTGTACAGATTTTCAGTTAAGATGTTTAAATGCCATAACTCAATCATACCAGCACCATTTGTGCCACTGTAGTAAAGATTACATCAGTGTTTCCATTATAAAACCCCTGTTTTTCAGGGGTTTCTAATTCAGCCATAAAAATTGGCTCCAGCCTAAAGCTTGGCAACCAAAGTTACCACTTGGGAGCAATTCTTTTAACCAATTTTTTTTTTTTTTAAATGGATTGGTCTTTCAAGCTACAAAATAGTTCAGAAAAAGAAAATTAGTGGTTTCAAATTTTGGTGAACTTCTATCCCTCAAAAACATTATTTTAAAAACTGATAATTTTGTATGTCATAAATCTGTAATGTGGACTGCTGCTTTTGGGTAATTTGGATAGAAGCAGTGGATAAAAATCACCAGCTTATTTTGTTTCAAAATAAATGTGACTTCCCATGAAAACTTTTAATCCAATAAAATTTTCACAAACGATTTTCTCATGGCAATGTGGTAGACATTGCACGAGGAAGCCTTTGTGACTCATTTATGCAGCATCTATTCCATTCATTTTCATTTCTGTGGTAAGAGGTATGTAACATTGTATTTTAATGCCTAGAATCAAATCTGCCCATCTTCAAGACAACAATTCCTCTTTGTTAGCACAGATCCACCTGTGAGCTTGACATGGCCCCTGACAAAGTTCTCTGTAAGCACAGAAAAATAAGAAAGTCTTTGAAAGCTGAAAAGAATCAGAACTCCTTTAACATGTAAATTGTTTTAAAATATGTATTAAATACTGATTCTAACCCACTTGTAACAGTCTCACTTTTTCTCATGCACATTAATTTAAATTGCAAGAATTACCAATTAGGCTTTAAAACTTGTTTAGTTCTAACATGTTAAAAAATCCTTTGAATGTTGGTTGATTTCAGCGGACGCCTCAAGTCAACAACATGAACATGATTTGATCTTCAGGCTCTCAGAATCTTTTTCATGAATGTAGGCTCAGAAAAAAGGGAATTACAAGCCCAGTGCCATCCACTGCCTATCAAAGTCAGCAAAAGTCATCAACAGCCCTGATAAGCTTTGGACCGAATCCTCCATGCAGTCTGAATCCCTAGCAGAATTTTTTCTTAATTCATATTTAGGCAGCAAATTGGTTTGGAAAGCCATTTCCACAAGTTCCGAGAAGCTTAACAGCTCATATGCTTTTTTTGAAAAGCAATTTTAGGTATATAATCATTGCTAAATTATAGCATTAGTTGCTGAGGGGAGAATGTCTGGTTTATATTTAGCCCTTATGTCATCCGTGTCAATTTTTAATACTACACTTCTTGGCTTTTATCAGTTTGCAGCAGAGCTGCATTTTCTTTTTTTTTTTTTCCAAATAGCTATTTGCAATGAAACAACATTAGGGATATTTGTCCCCTTCCCCACACCATTTTGTGATATCAAGTGACTGCATGTTAATATAATCTATATCATAAAAGTTATCACCTTCATCTGCATGTTAATCTATATCATAAAAGTTATCACCTTCATATTTAATGAGCTTTCCAGGAAACTATCTTCTGATTGTAAGAAAAAGAAAAATTACTGTTGAACAGAGTAGATTCATAATAAGCACTTTGAGACTTTTTCCACCCCCACATCTAACTATGTGTGCAGATACTCATAAATAAATATAATAAACAAACAATCCTACTCACCACTGCTCTGGAAACTAAATCACAATTCTTTATTTTCTGACCAACCTTTGTAATGGTACTGTGTGTAGATAAATTCTTGTAGTATTCCATCATTAACCATGCATTTCTCCTGCTCCCTGAAGCTATCTTTCTACATCAGTCTTTAAGTGAAGCTGGTAATGCTGTGAACACTTTTACTGATTATTTTATTAGTATACTAGGGCTGGAAATCTAAATGGACTATTAACCAAATCCTAACTATTTCATGTTTAAATTAAAAGAAATAACTTACTGAAAACCAACATTAATTTTGAATAACCAATTTATTTTTTTAATACATTAACTCAGTCTTAATAATGTCCAGTAGGGGCAACCAAGCTTCCTCCCCCTATCTGCCACCTACCAAATGTCAAAATCAGTAAGATGAGGACCTTGCCCGATTTTTTCCACAGCTGTGCACAGGGCAGAGAACCAGTGAAAAAATGTTGATGCATAAGAAAAAATGGGAAATGGTCATGGGAAAGGAGAAACCAAAGTGACCTACACGCTCCACAAAGAGCATGGACTCCAGCAGACAATTGCACAGCGGTCCTAGAGTCAGGCACAAAGAAGAACAAACTGTGGCAAGGAGGAGATGGAAACACAAGTGCACTGCGTGCTGGGCAGAAGGACCTCTGCATAGGAAGTTGTATATGAAATTATCTCCTCTGGAGACAAACCAGCATACACCGTAAGGAAGGTGTCCTAAAAATGCAAGGTCCTGTAATACTTTTTTGGATAAACTCAAGCTTCATGAATTCAGAAATTCAGAGCATCTTTCTGAAGCATAAAGTTGGTTTTGTTTATAAAACAGGAAGCAAAACTCTGTTTCTCTAGGAGTAATATTCTCAACAGAAATCATTAAGAATTCAAACGCGTCTAGCTACTGTTGACATTAGCTCCAGCACATTTTAAGAACAGAACCTGTTCACCACAAATCACTTAAAAAATAAATATGTGCTGGCTTCTCAAGAGGACAGAGTCCAATTTCAACCAGGGCTGATGACAGAAAAGATCACATTATACCTAGCACACCCAAACACACAAATAAACAAATTCTGGTGGTCAAAATTCACTAAGCAGAAAGTTTGTTTGGTACATGGTGAACATCAGCAACAATATAAAAGCAATGATGCAGAAGTATTAAACTACCACTGACTGAAAATTTACATGGCATTTCAATTAGATTTTTAAGAACAAACAAAATTATGTTTAATTATGGCCTTTTACATGATACATGGAGGCAAAGTAGAAGAAAAAAATAAATCAATTTTTAGACATTTCTAAACCAAATGACTTGTGTCTGCACTTTGTGAACCACAAGTTCAAGCTGAAAGAGTTGGCAAACAGAAGGAGATTGAGAAAAGTGGCCTCAATGAGGGGCAAAGTGATGATATGAAGACGACAGTGTCATGGGAGGAAAGTTTGGAGAAGTTATGAAAATTCACTGATTTTCTCACTGAAAAATATCATGAAAACTGAAAAAATGGAGAATAAAACTAAAAAATTGCATGCATATAAGAGGCAAAACACACCAGTTGAAACCCTTCACTTATAAAGAAGTTCTGAATCACACCTTTTTCTTGAAAAAATGGGAAAAAGAATCAAATTAATATAAGCAATTCCTGTCTCAAAAGGCTGAGCAGGCTGTTTCAGAAAAATCAGTACTTCCATTTTACAAGTTAATAGCATCAGTGATTCAAAAGCTTTCCCACTGCTTACATACCTCATTGCAATGTTGTAAGACTCTGGATGAATACAAGTTTGGTCCAAAGGATTGGGCTGTTGCAAGGCACATGATGTTGGTTTGCTCTTCTTTTTACCCTGTGCACCTGCCTTAGTCAGAAGTGCATGACTTCCAAGTTCAGTTTTCTTATTACTGTCAGAAATCAAAAATGGAAGGTCATTCCTAATGAACAAGATCCCAGCCCAATGCCCGCACATAAAGAACGCAGACTTTTATACAATGATATTTCTTTAAATAAGAAAAAAGTACAACACCCCTAAAAGGTCATTGTGGGTGACTCTTAACAATACAATTATAGCATAAAAATATAACATATCAATGTATGCATAAATTTTAAAATAGAAAAACACTGGGAAGGGATTCTGTGCTTCATCAAAATTTCTTCATGATGACAAGATTTTAAATAAAACACTACACAACCTATTGTATCCTTTGCAATCTGGATAGCATCTTCTGTCTGTAAAATGGGGACAACTGCATTTATCTACTTGATAAAGACCTTGTGAAGATACTTTCAATACTTAACTATCAGTCAATAGACTGCATCATTTTAAATTTGAAAAATTTATAAACAAAATTTAGTATGCATCCTAACTCTAGGTAAGTAAATTGCATCTCAAGCATATATACAGAACAAGGAAAGTATGTGAATGCTTAAACATCAGAACTCCTTAAACCTCATTTATTGACCTCCTATACTTAAATTTCTGAACAATTCTCCTCAAACATGGGCCAGGTCAAAATATCAAAAATTTCAAATCATAGTAACTCAGACCAAGATTTGCCCAGAACACAAAAACAGCTAAAGGTCAAGCCTACCACTGCTTCAGAATTTATAAACCATTTTTGCAAAAGTATCTTAATACAGCTTTCTTTAAAACTTAATAAATCCATTATTAACTCCTAGTCATTTAGCTTCAGTTACCATTTGGATGGGGCTACTTATTTTTTTTCCTTCAATTTTCTGGATAGTGAAAAAGCTCCAAAGACTGAGAGATCCATGGACAGATTTGCTTACATTGGTAAGAGGACTTTACCGAAGACAGGAAAGAAAGAGATCTATCTCCGTGTGTTTAGCATATTTACAACTGGCGAACCTCTTCCCTTAGAGTTTCCCTTAGCTAAAAATATGCTCAGGATTCAGTAAAGACATTGAATGACTCCTACTTGCAAAAGCTCCTTTCTTGCCTCTTTTTTTGTTTGTTTTTGCTTCCTAAATCACAAGTGGTTCATGCTTTTACAGTACAAAAGAGAATGCACTGAAAACCCTGAAACAGCACTTGCACTTTGGGCTCTACCTATGCATGGACCGTCAGCAGAAATGCAGACATAACTTTCTGTTTCTGTATCAGTTTAAGTAAGCAATATTTGTTAGATTCCAAGTACAAAACCTATTTTGCACAAGACTCGACAGCCATCAACATGATCAGAGAGAAAAACTGAAACCTTCTCAAAGTCCATTTCAAAAATGTTTGGTCTTACCACTTGGGCCCACAAGAAATATTGCGGAGGCAATGGTGTTTGAGCTTTATTTTGGCCTCAAACTCCAAAGTTATAGCAGATTTCACAGGTTATACAGTGTTCTCAAGTTTTATGGAACCTGACTAACATCAGAAGCATGCTCCAGCAAGGGAAAAAAAATATAATGTTCTTCAATACTTCACTGTTGAACTTGTGGAAAAAGACAAAATGGCATCAGCCTTTCCTTCCTCTGTTATATTGCAGCATTTGCTAGAACAGATCTGTACAACGTAAAACCTATCGATCATCCACAGCCTTGAAAACAATTTCTTTTGTCTTCTGGTGCTTACAGTGTGCACCATTTGGCCTGCAGCATGTACCTCCCTGCCAGATGGGCAACCAATCTGTATACCTTCCACCTGGGCAGTAAGCCAGTCCTAATGTGCCTACCTCCTGCCTGGAAGTTACGCGTGTGCTGCTTGGCCAGCAGCAACTGGGAATACAGTATTGCTTCTGAGCGTTGGGTTGGCTAAAAAATAGCATGTGCTTCCCAGGAAAATATTTTTTGAGTAGAGTCAGCGGCAAAAAGGTGAGGATGGTGCTACCATCGTGCCCTTTCTTAGTTCTTTATGTTGGAAGGAGAGATGGGAAAGACAGGAGAAGAGACTTTGCCCTAGAAAGGGCACTTTCAGTTGTGGAGAGGAAGGATTTCAGGTGAAGAGGAGAAGTACAATGAATGGTCTCAAGAAGGAAAGCCTTGGTACAGCTACAGGGAATGCAATGGCAGGAAAAAGATGACCCAGTGTTGAGATACAGGTCACATCACGGTGGCTAGGCACAGGAGTATAACACAGAGCTTGGTCCAGGCAGCTTATCCAACTTTTTCCTCCAGGTACTGAAATTGAAACTCTGAAAATCCACTCTAGTTTACTACCACTATGTTCTGCAGAGTAATATTTACTACATTAAAATGAATTTACAAATCTCTAAATTATGCCTGAAATGCAAGAATGGTTTTAATAACCCATATCACACCACTGAGGCATGCCAAATTTCTTCTACTGATTTGGTGGCAGGATTTGTAATTAAACTTACATACTTACAGAAATCCTGAATTAGAGTATGAGGCTAATAAACCACAATTATCAGAGAAGACCTACGTTCAACAACTGACTTAAAAGAAGTTTATTTGTTAAGATACTGTCTTTCAGAGGGAAAAGCCCTAAGATTACTCAAATCTCAAGCCTGAATACAAAACAGAAAGGGAAGAAGTCTTATCATAATATTTTGGATAACCTAGTCAAGATAGCCAACATCTCTGTTACCTGCAGAATGTCTTTATATACTCTTGATTGAATCTGATGAAGCCAGCACACTGTTGGAAGGATTTGGGACCCAGACCTTTAACTTCCTTGAGCTGTTCTCGGTTTATAAATGGTCCATTCTTTTCTCGCCATTCAATTATATTTTTGGCTCTGTTAGCATTCAGTCCTGCAATATGTCTAAGAGAAAAGTTTGCAGAATACATTTAATACCATTGAACAATCATTAATACAAGTCCAGGATACACATTTCTGCAGAAAAACTGGTTTACAAAACTTAAAAACAGCTAAGAAATTTGCAAATAAACTCCCAGACCAAAGGCACCCTCTGAAAAAGTATCCCTTCTCTTAGTTCTGTGGAAGGAATCCACTCGAGTCAACAAAACTTGGTACAGCAATACAGTTCTGCACATACCTAACTAGTAAGCCAGGGACGTGTAATTTATGATCTGTTGGCTATTTCTGTAATGCCAACTCAATTTGTCATGTCTTATGGTCTGCCCCCAGCTGCCCTCTTCAGGAAACGATGTGGGAGGAAGGTTCAGGACAGATAAATTGTTCCTGTGAGAACAGCCCCCCCTCAGCTATTCTCCTCCAATGGCACCACAACACCTTGCCCCAACATGAGGGGCTGATGTCTGCTGTCCAGAAGGAGAGTGGCTGGGAGCAGCTTGCCTTCCTCACGCAGTTCAACAGATCCACACAGCTTGTTCCTTTTCTCTCAGCTGCTCTTGAGATAAAAGAGCAGCTGGGAACAGGCTGCATGAGCTGCTCTGAGGGCAGCTCGGATCTGGCAAAGAACTCACCTGTGAAGTGCAACTGCAGTTAGCCAAGTTCCTTCAGGAAGCAGTGGGTTTGCTGCACATTTTCTGTACGAACATGCGAGTACAACTTTCTGTGTATGGAGTACGTTAATCATAGAAAGAGGGAAAAGAGCTGTGGTGGGCAGTTACTCCTGGCACTAGAGAAGGAAATGTCACCCATCTGGCTCCATATATCAGATGCCACTGTTTGAAGTCAATGGCAGCAGAAACCTGTGTGTGAAGTGCCATGGGCCAATTCTAGAAAAACATGACCAGCAAACCTGGCAAGAATAGTAAAAAAAAAAAAATCTGGAGAAAAAGTAATAATCAAAAAAATATCTCTCCATTGTTCTTACGCCCAAGCAAAAGTTAAAAAAACATTTAAAAATAATCCAAAGTTGGTGAAACCTCAGAATTAAATTGGAGAGACACACCATTTAACCACAGACAAAATATTAATCATTAGGAATGGAATTTTCTCAAAAAAATTCTTAGAAACATTATGAAATCCAGCTAACACACACTGACAAAGGAACATGACACTGAATTCACAGAATTTTCCACTAATGATCTCAAGTCGTTCAAGTGTCATACCTGGCAGCAAGGTAAGTAGCATTGTCACCCCTTCCATGTCATATGTATCAACCGATGCATTTGATGCATCAGAAAGCAGGACCAGGAAGCCCTGCTGATGGTATATTCTATCTAGGGCGACAATTTCACACACTGTACATCTGAGGGAAATTCAGATTGCACCTACACAGAACAGCAGAATTGAACTGCTGGAGATTAAGCATGTGCATACGAGCATCATAAGCCAGGTTAATTTGACCAAAGTATTGAGCCAACGTGGTTACTGCAAGTAACCAAGACTGGACAGGGTCACTCCATGTTCACCGTTTTGTGAAGGCTGACAGGGCTCACCCACTGCACTTGCTCAGGTAGGGTCTTATTCATGAATTACAGCTGGTCAGCCCCGTTTACCAATAGGTACTGCTTGCTTTCTTACTAAAGGCTGATCGAAGTCTGAAAGAAGGTAAGACAGAAGGTAAATCGGGAGTCAGGCTAAGAATTAGATACACCCGCAGAAAAAGAATACAGACAAAGTAGAAAAACAAAAAGAATGGACGGAGAGCCTCTTCAAACTATGGAAAGACATTTTCAGGAATGAAAATAAGGGGTTAAAAAAATTAAAGAGAACTAGGAAAAAATACATTTTTCCTAGATTTAATACCTAATATCACTATTACTAGCTAGGTTACAAACGTTCTTTTTCTTCCCCTCCTACTACAGAGGATGACAGCAAAACTTTGCTCCTCTGAGAGGCTGCTCAGCTAAACGATTCTCAATTCTACAAACTCAAAAGAGAGAATGAGCTTTTAATTGCTAACCAAGAGAAATAAAATCCAGAAGATTTTCCAAGTAAATATAGCATAATTACTTAAAAAAAATTCAGTAAAAGGGGATACATTTTTCAGCAGTTTCACCTTAAATCTTTCCTTTTCTCCTTTCCTCACCCAACTTTTTACAACCTGTTCCACTCAGCAGTACCTATAAAAATACTTTCTAAGAGACAGAAAGTATATTTGAAAATCCCTTTCTCACTGTAAAAACATGAATTAATTATATCAAGTTTTTCTAAAATTGCAGCATGGGTTCAAAATTTTTAAATATCTGTTTTTCTCTGAAGAATAGTTTTACCCTGGCGAATCACACACAACCTTAAAAACCGACTCTTAATGATCCAGTGAAATACTGTCTTAATGTGTCATTTTCATGTAATTGGAAGTTTAACACAAGAGCCATTTGCTCCAGCTGAGCTTGAGTCAGATGGCAGAATAAACAGAGACCTCTGTGATCCAGAGCCATGCAATTACTGGAATAGGAAAATGTTTGACTCACCTTAATAGTATTTCTGAGCAGATGTTAATATCAACTCCAACAAAACTGACACACTCTTCAACCACACTGTCCAGAGTTGCTTTAAGCAAAGTCTGTGATACATCATGCTGAGAAACAAAAATGGAGATATCGGGTTACTGAAATATTGAAGTGCACATAAATAAGAACTGCAAACAATACTAACATTAATGAAATAGTTGCTAGAACTTATCAATATCTTATGTGAAGGTGCAGGTTAAAAACAAATTGTAGAATATACTTTTAAAAGGTCTCCAGTATCTCTTTGGAAAATCTTTGTCATGATACAAATCCCTAAAATAAGACCATCTTCAAATTACTGTATTTTTTAAAATAACTATTTCCCTGCATCATATAAAAACAAAAATATATTAAACATAATGATTACTCAAAAGGAGTAATGTTTTTGTTCATCCACTATATCTTGTATTTAATCTCATATTTATGTACCTATAATATCAGTTTAATAAAAAGAAGACAGTATTTTAAAAATACAGTTCTTAGAGAAAAGATCACAAATGTTGTACTTTTGTACCTGCACACACAAATGTCTGCAAAATTGTCCTATTTATGAGCATCACATTACAGTACAGTAGTTATTATTAACTAATAGAACAAACCAGGTATTGTGTGAGGGTGGGCAATACATAAGGTACGTATCAGCCCTGCGGCAACAAAATGTTTCAGATTTTGAAGAGTTATTTCTGGGAAGATTGGCAGGTCCTTTACCGAAGTACCACTAATGGAAATTCTTCCAGTTTTCCCATTATTGTTCGTAGTGTTTCCCCTTTTCTCTGCCACCTCCCTTCCTCCCCGCCCCCCCCCCCCCCCAAAAAAAAAAAAAAAAAAAAAAAATAAACAACACACGCAAAAAGGAAAAAG